AAAAATTGTTAAGTACTATCAAACTATGAAGTTAGTTTCTCGAAAAAACGCTAGCTGCTAGTGATGAAACAATAAAAATATCGGATAAGTCAATTTTTTACAGATGGGAACTTTTGATGAAAACGTTAAGACTTTTCCAAAATTTAATGTGCCAAACTTTTGAGAACATCATTCCATACATTTTGATGTGCTCTTTCAAATGAGACTAGTTTCAGTGGATACGATCTCACTGATCCGACTAAGTTGCCTAAAATACGTGAGCATGCTTTCTGAAAATGAAATATAGTGGCAATTAAAATTTATTCCTGGATGTGGTACTTTTTGTGGGTACCAAAAGATAGCCCATAATCAATAGTATCTTTGGTGAAAGAATCTCAACTATATCTCTTATAACTTGGGAGAAAATGAAAACATACTGAAAAGCACTGCAATATAGAAGCGTCCGATTTTGCTTGAGTACTCATACTTTCAAGTGGTATATCTCGAGAACGGCTCATCCGTTTGAGTTAAAACTTTGGGTTTATTCCTAGCTTGGATGTAGGCATCTATCGTAAAAATATCAGTCAAATCGGTGAGGCCAATTGAGCACTGGCGGTCGTGGCTTACGTGCAATGCCTCTTAGGGATCGTAACTATGTAATATCTAAGGAAGTATACCTTTTAATTTCAGAATTGGTTACTTAGTGGGGAAACAATTATCAAAATGCTTCGAAAAACGAGAAAAATCTTAGAAAAGTATGGTAATAATTGTAATCTATTTTGAGACTGTGGTTCCTGTGCACGTGGATCTTGTATGATAAAAATATTCGATAGGATTCCGTTAAATAATAGTAAAGTCAAAAGTCGCTAAGTTTTTTGTTCTTTTTTGGCAAATATCTCTTTTGGGATAGTAATGCGATGCAAATTATTGGTAAAAACGAAGCAAGAATGAAAGAAATGGCGTGACTGTGTAATGAAAACAAAAAAGAAAAAGAAATATCTACTTGCCAAGTTCGAGTAAAACGTCAACATCAAATTCATTCCAAATAAAATTAGTATAATTATTAAAGAGAGATTGATAATTCGAACGATTTATCGGCGGTGGTGAATATTCAAAAAATGATTTCGATATTTTGCCATTGGTCACAAACAATCTATGTAATGATTGATATAGATCTTTAGTTCTAGTGTCAGTTCGATTTGGAGTTAATTTTTGACATAGAATATAAAGAAGATATTGATCAATAACTGTATTACCGAATTGATCATAGCCATTCGCTGGAAATGTATTAGGATTTGTTGTATTTGTCGGTGTTGTCACTTGTAATTTTAAACGTGATGAAAACGAATCATTTAGTGTTGTATCAATATATTCAAGCATATTTGGTTGATGATCCGATCGACAAAGACGTGGCCGACTAGCGGTACTACTTCTCGATGACATTTTTTTGTTTTGACTAAAATCTAAACCTGAAAATAAATGATTTTAAAAAATAGAAACAAACAAATAAAATGATTTGTTTGTACCTCTGTATTTTCTTTTGCTTTAATAAAATGTTGACTGAAATTATTCGTTTAATACATAAGAAGAGTGAGTCTGCTTCTTTTCTTAAAGAGCAGTTGATTGTGACTGCGTGTTTTGATTAAGTTAACATTTCTTTCGCATAAAAATATGATAATAGTTAACCAGAGAGAGAAAAAAAAACTATAAAAATATAAAAATCAATAAATAGTGTATATAAGACGGGAATAAAAACAGATGAATTCGAAATCAGTAAAAAGAAAATACTGTCTTTTTCTCATTTGACGGCTCTCTTCAAAAAGGCTATTTCTCAGTGGAATATGAAATAGCAGTCGTTGTATGGTGTCATCAATTGGAAAGCAAAAGAATAATGCCAACAAACGAAGATGAATAATACACCGTAGCAGTCTCATTTCTTTCTCTTATATGAAGTTTTTCTTGTTCCCTGTCTGTCTTTCATCTCGCTCTCGCTCTCTCTCTCTCGCTCGTTTTTTTTTTGTTCCAGAGAGTATTCCCGAACGATGGCAAAGATGATGACAGAAATGAAAAAAAAACAGGAGAAAATAGAAAAGAAAAGGATTGGGTTTCAACAAACTAATTGGCTAGTGATACCCGCTGGGGCACTCTCATTCACTCACCAGTTCGATAACAACGATTCCATGAGTTCTTATTTCTTGCTTGATGTAAACAACGTTTTTCTTCTCTTCTAGTCCGCATGCTGTTTAAAATTTGCGATACTGGTTTACAATTAAACATTGGATAACATAATCCGGCATCTATTTTCAATAATCATTTCTTATTGATCATCTAAATTACTTTTAAATATCGTATTTATGATTATTTAATGAGAACTTGCGTTGATGCAGAACTTGCATTCTATTGAAATTCTCATGAGATGAGTATTCAACACATATATACAGAAAGTTCAAATAGAATAAAAAATATAATTAAGATACCAAATAATCTACAGTAATGATTAATGTGATAAATATCATGCTGCATGGTACGCTAGCTTCAATTGATACAGGATATATTGTTTTTGTTTGATAATATTCAAGTAAATCATGTGTTTTAGATTAACGTTTGAATATGTTATTTTGACATATGGAGTAATTAGCTTTATATATAAACACATAGCTATATAATTTAATGTATCATCGAAATGATTAAAACCATCTGATAGGAATTCTGATCTTCTTCTATTAGAACCATATATCAATATATATCATTCTCATTTAAACAATGCACGTCAATACATTGTGATTGATGTAGAACCAACGCGAGGATATAAGCGTCTCCAAGAGATTTCGTTGTTCGTTTAGTCTTAAGTGATAATGACATAAATCTTAGATTTGTAAAGATATTATACAGAAACCTGTCTGGTCTGTTTTAGCGTGGTTTTTTGTTTTTTCTCTCTGTCTAAAATATGATACAAGCTAGGGAGTTTGATATTTAATACTCGAAACAAAACAAAAAAACGAAAGGAAAATCAAACGTATTGAAGGTTATTATTGAAGTATTTTGTTCTTTTCTCTCCTGATGAAATAAGCAATGAACAAACACAAAACAAAAGAATAAAGCGAGCACCAGTAGACAAACAAACAAACAGAAATAAAAGAGAAAAGTTTTTTTGTTTTTTCATTTAATCACTGTTCCACGTAAGATAAATTAAGTAGTTTTTCTTTTTCTTCTTTTCAACTTTGTTCGATCAAGTAAGGCAATAGGATGCAGAAGAAACACATGTTATGCATCTCTTAGAGAACGTCAAAAACAAACAAATAATATTATCACTTGAGATCAACATGCACACACACGGATAGGAGAAGAACGAGAATTATGCGGAGAAAGCCAAAAACACAAAATGAAGATAATAATGCCATTCGACTACAAAACACACGCACAAACAAATAAAAACGATTGTTTGCAAAAAAAAAGGTACAAATATGCTTGGAGATAGAAGACAAAAACACGAGAAAAGTTCTAAAAATCATCAATTGATTATGAACAAAAACAAAACCTTAAGAAGAACTCGCTCTTTCTCTCTCATGCACAAATAGAGAGAGAGAGAGTGAGAGAGAATAGGCACAGTACATAAAACGAAGAAAAGAAAAATTTTAGTGTCATTTGAAATATAATTATTAATAAAGAAAAAAAAGATCGAATAATTATATAGAAGAATATAAAGAAAAAAAAATACTTTTTCTTTTTTTCGTTTATTTCGTTTTTCTTCTTCATTTTTATTAGTTGCACATGAATATCTTCCTTTGTTTTAAACAGGCACGCTTCCAATCATAACTTTCGATACAAAATTAACAATAGCTGTTGACGGTTGTGTTCGATCGATTTCAGCAAATATATGACATTCATTTTCGGGTTGATTCGATCGATTATTTCCATTGATTTTTTTCGAAACAAAACCAAAACATCTAGATCAAAAGTAAAATTTTCATTTTGTTTATGACAATAGTTTTCAAGTCTTTTACTTTGCTTTAGGTAACATTTCTAAATCTGGAAATTGATATATCCAATAACGATCAGTTTCATAATCAACACCACAATATGTGACATATTCTTTAGGAAAATGACGTCGAGAAAATAATCTAAATAATTCAATGTCTCTTGAAGAATTTGTCGTAAAAAAAAAGAAAATCTCGTAGTTTACTTTTTCTTTGTATCGGTTAATGTGATACCAGTATTTGAAACTTTAAAATGAACAATAGTTGCTTGTAGACGATCGAAATTTTCAAATGTAGCACGTAATGCTTTATTGACGGCCATTTGACCAGATAAGGATTCAACATCAACATTATTTAAATAAACAACGTTACAAGCTAAGATTTATTTCAAGAAAAAAAAATGACAACAGTTAATTTATTTCAAGAAAAAAAGAATTTCTATAAAAATATTTTACCAGCTCCTTTTTCAAGTAAATCTTTTACAGACATTTTTTTCAATGTTTCATGTTGTTGTTGTTGTTGTTGTTGTTGCTGTTGATTTGATACAGACCGATAGTCTTCAGTTATATCAAAAGTCGGTAAAACTAATTTTATTGGTAAGGCAAGTGGAGTTATTGAATGTTGATAGACTAAAACTGATAGATTGGCTAAAAACAAAAGAGAAAACTTCATCAATATTTTTTGATTTATTCGAGTATATTTCAAAACAACTGAGTTCATCAATTCATGTGACTTTTTAAAAATAGAACATTCCGGCTCATGTGAAAAAAAGCACATGCTAATTTATGGGTACGTTGTAATCTTAATACCTTAAAATCTGTTTTTCTTTTTATCCTTTATTAAGATTAATTTTTACAAGAAGAATTATCTTGAAAATTTGAATAACTCGTTGCGACTAGGTCTGTACGACCAGATTAGCATTGAAATTCAATCTGATGCTTTAGGTTTATTTTGTACGAAAATCAATTGATACTTAGTTGTCATCTTCGGGTTAGAAGTACTTTAATCTTTTCTTTTTATTGTGCATATATTGTCGTTCGAACCTATCGAACCAGTAGATAATTTGAATTTTGTTTTCCTATAAATCAAACTAGACGAGCTGGAATGGTCTCGTTTACACCAGATTACATTTCTAAGTCTTCTATATTTGTAGGAAAATTTTGAGCTCGATGTTTAAGTCTCGCTGACAACGGTACAAATGGAGCATATTACTTTTGTTTTATTCTTTGAAAACATTCTGACTATGATTGCAAAAAATTTGTTGTAAATTAATATTCTCTTTCATAGAATTTCTATTTCACGCACACATGTCATCATAGGGTCAATGCGAATATAAGTTTCAAAAAAGAAAAACAAGCTTTTTTTTATGTGCATCGAATATTGTCAACAAAAAAGCTGTGACAATAGACATTTTTCATATAATGTTTAACCAATTTTCTTGTTTAACAAAGCATTAACAGGAGTACGAGGCTTTGCATGAGTTAGTCCATTTTAAAGGATATTTCATGTAGCAAAATCATGTTAGTCATCTGCGGCGCATACACCAATTAGAAGTAATGATTTCTTTTTGTGTAACTTGATTCATGCATGAAAGCAAATAGAAAAAAATTGGTCTCAATGCGTGGGTTTGTCGGGCATGTTTTTCCGTAATAAAAAGTCCTTCATATAAAAGTAAAAACAATAATCTTCAGCTAAGCTATAGGCATTGATTACGTGATAGATTGAACGAGTGATAAATTTACTATAGTTCTCCTAGCAACAATCTCAGAGTAAATGGATAATTTTCGCACATCACGTTCACATCGATAAAGTATCAAATTAAGAATAAAGCTTTATGTGAAGTTTTATTAGACACGTTTTGATTTTATGAGATATTCTCCTAGTATCTAATGTTGAGAATACAGGAAACTAGTTTAATTGTGCTATTCGTAATATGAAACAGATAATTAACTAAATCAATTTTGATATTATTTTTTATTGGTTTTCACTGAAAAACATGTTCCACAAATTCAAGGTTTCTCGTTAGCTTTTCCTTGCCTCTAACTTATTCCATGCATAAATCAGAGCATACCAAAAAAAAGCCTTAAATAGAATAGCTCAGGGCATTTTCAGTCCTCTTTTTAATGCTTTATTGAACAAGAAAATTGCTTAAAAACTTAATGAAAAATTTGCATTCTCCTTCTTCTTTTTCTACTGACAATATCCGACGTTATAGATTAAAAAAACACCGCTATTTAACTTCATAGCCGATTTGACCATGAAAAATAAATAACACTTCAACTCTAAGGAATGGAACAATCAGAGTGTCAACAAGAATCAAGGAGCTGAATAGATTAACATGAAGTTTTTTTTTTACTAATATACTTAAATTCTATATCATAGAATCTATTGAAAATGGTATTAATGGCGTCTATATATATCTTTTTTTTCTTTTCTTTTTTTAGATAAAGACAAAAGAAAATCATCTAATATTGAAATTAGACATTCATTACATAAATTATTTGTGGCCAGACTTTGAAATAATACAAGTGCGAGATCTACTCATAGCATCTGAGGCTTATTTTATTTAATAAAAAGAGCTACCTTCAAGTTAAATTGATGACCTATATTCTTCAAACCCAACCCAACGAGATTTTGTTATACATAACCTATTTATTAAAATTTCAAGTCATTTCAGCCTAATGATAATTCCGACGTAAAATAATATGAAACTATTAAGTTCAATGTACATACACATGCTTCAAAAGAAACAAATATACAACAACAAACAGTGACATTATCTATATATCATAGTTTTGTCTGCATCCTACTGGATTAGATTTTTTTTCACTATCATATTCTCTATCAAAGGCTTACATTTTCAAATAAACGCAGTTAAATCTATTGAATTCGATACAAATGTCTAAGTAAACTATTAGTTTAGAAGTTAGATCTTTCGAATACTATCCTTTTGAGATAGTTATTAAAATTTGTTATAAACTATGTAGACAACATTTTAAAAGTTAAACATAATTCTATTCATTAATTGTACTAGACCATTGTGTAAGAAGAAATTTTGTTTACATACGATTCGAACACGAAGATAAATCTCTACGATGTGTATAACGTCAATATTAATTACATGCGTATAGCTATCGGTAATGTCAATTAATACGGATTCTAACTCGACACCCCTCGGTTCAGTTAATGAATGTTATATCATCCGACATGTATCAATTAGCATATTAAGTTTCATATGTTATACATCAATTTTCCTGTCATGCACTCGTCTCGATCAAATAATTAAGAAAATATGTAGACATCTTCTAATTGAAATTGAACAATAGTCTTCGATTTTAGCTTTACATGATTATAATCATGCTGAACTACAAAACAAAAAAACAAAAAGGTCTCATACCGAAGTCAGGCTCATTTGGACATCCTTTCAAACGAACATGTCCAGTTGATGTCCGTTCAATAAGATAATGTCGAACAAGTTCAGCATTGGGATCAGCTCCTATATTCAATGCAATATATTCATTTTTCAATATACATACAGTATTCAAAATCAAATAGCACACCTTGTTTCGCTTGAATACCCGGTGGTAATGTTTCAACTTTAATTGCAAGACCATATGAGCCAGGAAAACCTTGACTATCTCGAACAAGAAATGTTCCAGGTGGTTTTGTTTTAAGTAGATTAATTGCTATTTAACAAAAGAAAATCAGATAAATTGAAGAATATGAATGTTTTCTTTTTTCATATAATAGATCATACCATCTTCACGCGACATTTTTTCTTTATACCAATATTGACTGACATGATGGGCTTGATAAGCACCATTACGATTTACATCGGATTCTAAGGAAAAGAACATATTAAAAAACGAAATTGAATAACTCCCATCGCGCAATATGTCAAGGGTAATGAATTGTTTCTTATTAAGTATTGATGAAAACAAAATAATCTACATGGACTATAATGTATTCTCATGAGATTAATGCTTGATAGAATTACAAAAATTCTTCTAACACTTTACAATATATTATAGCAGTAAATTAGAATTAACTTTTTCCTCATGAAAAATTTATAAAGAAAAAAATTAATCTTTGACAAGAATATTCAAGGACGCTCCAACAAAAATACTTCTGCTGTTTGCATTAGAAATGACACCTGATAATCTTCTGAGGATTTCCGTTTTTTCTTTCTGACATCGGTACGAGAAACCGAAATAGAGTGCGAACTGCAAATTGCATTCTTTCATTGTCACACATTATAGTTTACCTGTAGCGGATGAAACGCTTGAACGGCGTGAATTTTCTTCTTGATTTCGAAAAGAACTAAAAGAATAAAAGAATTTCTTTTGAACAATTGTAACAAGAAAACAGTCAAAAACTATTACCTATTGCCGACACGTGGTTGAATATTTTGATTATCTAAACGTATGAACACGAGACGTATAGATTATCAACATAAACCCAAATGAATACATACAAGTTTGATTGGTTACTGGAAAAGTAGGTGTTGCCGGTGTTTTACTTGTTGTTTGATGTTCAAAGCGATCAGAATTTACAGTAGGTATCTATGTTAAATAAATAGAATTCGATTAAAATTGTATTTTTAAAAGAGAAAAAACAAAAACTCAGGGTTCATTCAAGGGTATCATCGTGCAAGCGAAACGCAAATCATTTCTCTTACAATCTCTGCTGTAGTCGAAAATACTTGTGGTTTTTCTGCATTCGATTCATTCGAAACAGGTAATATCGTAGTTTCGATCACACTACATTGCACTCTCGATGGCATTTGAACTGTATTATCATCAGAAAATTTTCTTTTCAATTCTGGTGATGCTGGTATTTGTTGTTTATTAGTACTCGGTGGATTCGATAAACCAACTGAACCCGGAAAAAAGTTCGGTAGGATTGAAATATGTTTTCTCATAGTTTCCATGTTTTCGTTAGCTTTTGTTGTTGTTGTTGTTGTTGTTGTTGTTGTCGTTGATGATGACGGTAATGTAGTCAACGTCTAGATTATAAATGGAATGGAATGTTATTTTCCTTTGTTTATTTCAAACATTCCATGCATTTCACATACATGCAGATGTATTTTGGTGGGACAGGGACAAAATATTTAAAGTAAAACTAAAATATTCTAACTCTCTTTTTTTTACCCTTTTTTGTTGTGCTCTATTAGTTAGTGTTATATGTTGTCCCGGTAAACGTGTTATTGTTGCTGATGAATCTTGTGTAACAACAGGTATCGATGTTGAACGTAATTGATCTTGTGAACGATAGCGTTGATTATTATCGATAAATCGTTGTTGCTGTTGTTGTTGTTGTTGTTGTTGTGATGTCGGTCTTGCCATTGATTGTTTACCAACCCATCCACTATCACCATATTGAATATCAATAGGTACTTGATGACGAGAATAATTTTGTTGCCGGATACGCATACCTGAATCGGTTTCATAGCCAGTTAAATTATCTGCTCGACTACGTAATGTATTTGTGTTTGATTCGTTAAGAAATGAACTGCCACGTAAATTTGTTGGTACATTATTTAGATTTGATGATGATACCATTCGATTATTAACAACTAACGTTTCAGGTATAACTGCCATACGTGGTGGTAATGTACGTGTCATACGTAATCGACCACTACTAATTAAACCTGAATCTGTATCATATCCATCGGGTCGTAACATCGTACGATGACCTCCACCAGAACTAGTTGCTGAATAAGTTTCATGATGACGCTCTCGAAGTAAATGTGGTGCTGCTGCTACTCCAGCAGGATAATATGGATAAGGCATAGCTGGAGGTACATGTAATGGTGGTGGAGGAGGACCACCGTAATATCTCGGACCATAACCACGAGATGTGACAAGACCTGTATCGGTTTCGTATCCTGAATAATCATGACCACGTACACGTATACCATTTGCTGGTAATGTTGAACGTGAATAATTATAGCATTCAGTTGGTTGTCCATCAATATATGTACGTGAAGGTGAACGAACTAAATCCATACGACGTAATTCAATGGGTCCATCTGGTGCTGGTTCGGATGATGCACGAAAATGTGTCGGAATGGCTGAAGTTGATGTTGATGTGACTGTTGTTGTGTAACCATCTGATGACAAAAAATAAGCACGAAAACAGTCGGTCATTAGTTCTGACAAAAAAACAAACTTGTTTTTCCATTACCTCGATTGTCTTGTCTACTGTAGGGTCTCCTTGACGACAATGTACTTGTTGGGCTGTCGGTTCGTACAAGTTTTATTGGATATCGTCCACGATTTGGATCCATCTAAACAAAAAACAAATTTTCTCTTTGAGATCAACTGTTTTTCTTAGTTTCAAAATAGCAGATAAACGATTATTTCCTTTTTTCTTTTAGTTTCATTTGTGTATTCTTTTCTCTTCCTTTTCTTAAGCTATCATCATTATAATGTTTGATATGTGTGTGGGAATCTACATTTACGTAATATCATTTAGTCGTGCTGTGTTCTTTATAGATAATCAATAGATAGTCTTAGTTTTCCTTCAACTGCCTCATTTGACATTGAGATTGAGATTGGGATTGAGCAATGACGAATGCCATTTTATCGATATTCCTCAATTATCACTAATCAATTTAAAGCGTTCACTTCTTTTTTTCTTCTTCTTTTAACTATCGTGAAATATTCTCCTGATTAGTCAAGCGAAACTTCGTATCATTAAAACATAATCAAAGTGTGACAAATAGTTATGACAACACTTTATACTTGAGTTACTTACTCGATGGACCGAATCTGTGTAAGCAGCACTTGAACTGTACGTTCGCCGATTACTTGTTGTTGGTGGTGGTTGTTGATGTACTGGTATGTCTGCTGTCCACACGGTTTGCTGTGTTTGTTGTTGTGAACGTTTTCTTAGAGTATTTTGAACACTTTCTAATAATGAATCAATAAGTTGTTCATCAATCGATAATTGATCTCTTGATGCTGCTGTTTGTGATGGTTTATTTGTTGTTGTTGTAGTCGTTGTTGTTTTCATTGTTGAATTAGTGATCGGTATATCTGAAGTATCACTGATACCACCACCGCCACCACCACCACTGCGTTTTACACGTATACGTTCTTCGCGTGTAGTTTTTATGCGTTGTTCTTCACGTTGTGCACCACTCGATGATAGAGATGAGCCATCGATAAGACCGCTAACAGTATTAGCATCAAAATCATTGCGTTTTTGGTTATTTAACGTCGATGCTTGGGTATAGGATGAAGCTCGAATAGATGATGGTAACTTTGCATTTAATATTTCATTATGATCATTATTCGAACGATGCTGATATGAATGCGACGAAGATGATGTTGAATATTTATTATTAGTATTAGTATTATTACTAATACGATTATTTGTGGATGTACCAATCGGACGATTTACTTCAATGAGTAAATCTTTAACGAGATCGTCGAGTTGATCTACATCCGATTTTAATTTTGCTGTTTGTGATAGTGACATGTTTTCCTTTGTAGAACTAAACGAGACAGGCAGCGAAATGCCGCCGTCACCAACTTTACTGACACCGATGTTACTATTAGGTAAAGAAGGAAGACGTGTAATGGGCGTTGAAGAAGAAAAAGAAGACGACGACGCACTAGTTATTTGTACAGGCAAACTAGTAGACGTTTGGTTTGTTTCGAATGGAAAGGAAGAAGAAGAAGAAAATGTTGGAGCAGTAGCTGTTGTACTAGTAGCGTTGTTATAATGATTGACTTGCACGTTTTTGTACATAGTCTAGAAGAGAAGAGAAGAAAAAAATCAAAGAACAACATAACTTCTGTCTTGGTGCCACAGCAGTATTCATCAAAGGAACGTAAGAAAAAAACGATGTAAAAAAGAAAAAGAACGCAAGAAAAGAAAAGAGAAAGATCGGCACTTCTCGTCAAAGAAGAAGACGGCCAGTAGTAGGACTAGTAGGATCTATTCTTCTATCTTTCTAGGGTGGTACCGTTGCCTTTTTAACAGTCATTTCTTTTTTCTTTCTTTCTTTCTTTCTTTCTTTTCGGTTGATGCGTGCATGTAATTTTTACGTAACCCTTTCCTCATCTCTTCTTATTCTTGGTATTGAGACGAGGGCGCTTGCCGTCCTTTCGTTGCCTTCACCATCGCCTACATAATGGCATCAACGACTTACACTCTGTTCGCTCGTTCGCTATCTTACTACATTACTCTATCTAACATATATTCATACACAAATTCTATGATGAGCAAAGAGAGCGGAACAAAATACTACCACAGTTGGTGTATATAAACATGTACGAGTAATAAATTGACCGAAAAAAAAAATGGTAAACTTTCAGAGAAGGATAAGTGTAAATGTCTATATGATCGAGAATAGGAGAGACTCTCATAAATGTATGCTAATAATATATTTGAAAATAGAGAACAAGAAAATACCATTAGACTCCAGAAAAAAAATAGAAAAAAATATTCTCTTGTTTGCCAATTAAAATAAGTAAGATCAAGGAAATCAACTCGGTTTTTCCATGAAAATACGGCTCATAAACAGTATATTGGCATAAGTGAACGTGTTGAAAAGATATCTTTATATTGTTGATAGCTTGATTTATATGTACATACCAATGAAATTATGCTCAAACCATCGTCGAGTGTTATGCATATGAGTAGAGGTCAACTTTTAGGTTACAATATATCTTCTTCGACGAACAGTACCAGTAGTAGCAGTAGTTAAGGTAGTAGTCGTCAAAAGTCATTCATCTGAAAATAAAAATCATACCAGAAGGAATACAATAAAGAAACGACGAGAATAGGAAGAAATCAATGAATGAGGATTCTTAGAACAAAATGCAATTACGAACAAAGGAAAAATGAAGAAGGCTAGTGTATGCGTGTTTGGTTGATTACAAATGCAACATTTTTCCTGGTATCACATACATCGGCAAAAACCATCTGTGTGTGTGTGTGTGTGTGTGTGTGTGTATGCCTTCAATAGAATACTGTATAATCAATAGAAAAGATAATGCAGTATCAAGGGAAACAAATCTGTACGCAATAAATAGAATAACATATAGTATATAGTCCTTGATTAATCTTGAAAAGTCAAGACTTTTCTTTTGCAGATGGTTCAACCTCTCGCCTTTATTTTCTCTTTTTTCTTGGTTCATGTGGATAAAAAAGAAACATAATTGCATAAAAGAAAAGAAAAACAATTAACATACCTTGTCCGATTCCGGCTTATCAATCATATTACTCACTTGTTTTTTTTTTTTGCTAGTCTTTTTTTGCTCTCCTGTCTATTCACGAAACACAATCTAATACCAGTTCGTATGTACGTGCATTGCATAGAATGATCACCATCACACGTATTGTCTCATCTTTCTCTCTTTCTCTCACACATAAATCCATATCAAACACACCACCGTCTATGATGTTCAGTTGAGCAGTAAAGAACTCAAAGAAAAAAATATATACGTGTGAGAGAATAATCAATGGCCCACTGCCAAGCAGCATATATTCACGTACACTGTTCAACATTTTCTTTGCTCGCTCTCGCTCTCTGTTTCTCTTTGTCTATGTGAATATATATATATATATATGCATGCAAGATGAACTCAGTCGACGAGAGAGAGAGAGAGACAGAAAAAGGAGTGCACTCTGACCGACTTGCTTGTACGTTTACTATGTTTTTGTTGTTGATGATGATGATTATGATGAAAGAAAGAAATGATGGCGATACTGCGTAGTAGTCAAACAGAACAAACTAATCAGTTAGTTTGATGCAAAATCAACAAAAAGACATCTTTACTGCTTACATGTAGGTTTTTGTCATTTAAGGATGGAAGAATATATATATATATAGCATTAGGCCTTCATCAAAACGTCAATACTGCTAATAATAGCAAGAAAAAAAATTAGCAACAAGAGTGATAGAAAATATTGTATAGATCAAGGTTTGATTATACATCTCATCTGAACATTGTTATGGTCAATCAGGAATCACAAGGTTTGAATAGATGCACTTGCAAAAGATTAGCGTCAGAAGAAGAAGAAAAAAGGAAAATTAGATATTATCACTAGAGTGTATGCATATATATATATATATATCAAAATTCAAGGGTAAACTAATGTTTATGGCAAAAACAACAATATCGGCTGGTAGTATATATAGATGCAGTTTAGTCAAGTGATCGATGAGCAACAAAATGAATAGAAGAAGAAGAAGAAAGAGGAAGATTTAATCGTGAATAGAATCATATAATTTAAATGCATTGATATATACTGTCGATACTCAATTGTCGACTCAGCTTTTCTATCGATCGCTCATTCGTTCATATTCTATCATCTATATAAATATCGTTTTTTGTACGATGTTCTTATCACCCTTTAGGTATGTTCAACACTGCGACAACGAGCGGGAGACAAAAGGTCACATATGATGTGCTGACGTAAGCATCTGTGCGGGCATTCGTTGATCAAGGCAATATTGTTGTTTCAAGAAGACACGTAGACACAGAACGATTATCATTCGGTTGATTGGAATGAAAATCAGAGAAACACAACAACAATAATGATCATCCTGGAGCACGATACATTCAGCTGAACAATTTTTTCCTTCGCATTTATTATGAGACGGGGATGGTGGAAGAAGGGCGACAGAGAGAGAGAGAGCGAGAGCGAAGTGCAGGCAAAATTCTTCTGTACCAACAAGAAGAAGCCGTCGATATGTCTGTTGACCGAATATCGAATAGCATTCATATGTAAATACGTTTATATACGTGTATATAGACATGCATCAGGAAAAAAAAGAAAAAAACATCTTAATCTTAATATTCAATCCAATGTAATCATCGGTAGAAAAAGGCATGCGGATAAGAAAAACCACACAAAAAAAACTTAAAGCTCTATTTTTTTTAAATCTCAAAGTAAAGCTATTCTATTTTAAAATATCCTTTGTTACTTGATCATAATTTTCTGTCAATTCAATTATATCACGATAAACCCATGCGCAACCAGATTTACGCAATAATTCTCTCTCAAAGCCACCACAAAGTACTCCAACAATTGGTAATTTTGCTGCTAGAGCAGCTAAAATAGAAACAAAACAAAAAATAATTCGTTGTAAGAAACGTTCAGCAGATTATTTTACCTTGCGCATCCCACGGCGTATCACCAACAACAACGGCACGATCAGTCGATGGATATTTTAATAATTTCAATGCTGCTAAGAATATATCTAAATTTATGCAAAATGAAATTATTTCATATATTACAATAATTCTATTTATTTTCTACCAGGATACGGTTTAGATCGCTTGACATCTTTTGAATTTGAACTAGTTTGACAATCAATGAGATCAGCAACATTAGCAATATGTTTATAAAGTTCTAACTCATCAGTTTGTGCTGATGAAGCAAGTGCAATTAGTATATTTCGTCGTTTGATTAATTCAAACAATTGTCGAACACCGGGAAATGGTTTTATTTGATGAAGATAATCATCTTGAAATAGTTTTGCTTTTTTCTCGGAAATTTCTTTACCATATTTTTTTATTTGCTCTTCAGTTGCGAACACAGGTAATAATTGATCCGCAGCTTTACCAATTTGCATACGAACATCAGATAAATTTGATTTAATATTATAATATTCTAATGCATCATGCCAAGCTTTTGCATGAAAATCCACAGTATCAATAAGAGTACCATCGACATCGAATATAACTGCGTCGAGTTCTCGCCGTTTAGTTGCGAAATGGCGAACTGACAAAGATAGCTGAAGAAGACTTTTGAGATAAGAATAAAATATATAAAGTTTACGAAAACGAACAAAACTACCTGAGGACGGATTATGTTTGATAAATAGATTCGAAGCATTTTTATTGATATATGAATAAGAAAAAATAAGTAAATCAAATAGTAAGCAACAGTTAGCAACTATAGGGCTGATTTAGCTCCCAATGATCTTTATTATATAAGAGCAACTCTTAAAGCAAAAGAGGGCGCTCTTTTCCTACAGATTTCACTTGAGTATAATTTATTCTGTCTAAAAAAAACTACTATTCGTTTTTATAAAGCATTTTTCAAAAACGTTTCTGTTTAAAACAATCGCGGTGGAAAATGTACGTAGTCCTAGCAGAAACGTACCTGTCGGTCCATGTCATGAATAAAATCTGCATTTTGATTTCCATTAAGAGAACGCAGCACTTATTACTGGCAAGTCGACAGAGTATTCATTTTCTAATGTATACACAACTGACTTCTGTATCCATTTTACCAAATAGTTTTCGTATTAAGTGTTTGTAATGAATTACATATCAAGTTTTCTGAGAAAAGATTCTCGTTCTGTTCTGTTGTCTATAAAGAAGGCGTAAGTGAGAAAAGGTTCTGCATTCGTTTTTCTTGACACATACTTGGAAATCGATACAATTTAACAACATGCACTATTCACACTTCAAATGTCATCGATAGAGCAGACGACATTGTACGATCAATAAAAAGAAAACGATGAAAATACTATTCAAACAAACATGAGCTGAAAGGTCTTTTCCTTTTTATTTTGTCGCGTCTTACTACGATAATTGTAATTTCTATACCATTTTACTCGCCCAATATACAGTGGTTTAATTACAGATAGGCTTTCAATGAAATGAGGTACAATATTGTAAATCAATATTTCTATGATAAATGTTTTAATTTACATTTTTTCGAAGTTTTCATCAACGATACTTGTAGTTAAAATCTGCAACGGTAACAATGACGAAAAGTTAATGACTCTGAATGAATGGATCGAATTCTAAACATAAATACAGAAAAATACGATCGAGTTTACAGAAGATCTCAGATAGAAAGCATAATAAACTTTTCATTATTACATTTTATTTTTGAATTAAACTTATTTACACAGCTCTTCTATGAATTAAACCTCATTTTCGATAATAATATGTGAATAACATTTCAAGATTGAACGATTCTTGTCTGTAACATTATCTCTTGAAAGGTCAAAAGAAGCTAATTGGCATAGCACTACATTGAGAATGAATTTTTTATCAATCAACCTAAAATTTACAGATATCATGATTCATTTTGCACTCTATTACTACTCAAAGTTGCATATCGACTAGCTCCTGCTTTTTCATATCCTTCTATCTTCAAATAATTCTCATATACGAGTGTATGATTTAGAATGGTAGAAGAGATTAATGATTCTAAGCATAGAATAACTAATCATTACTCATCATTTTGTATATGTCACGGTTTCAAATACTTGATCAGTTCTATTTTCTCACACAATGATGCATAGACCTAAATTCTTTTCACAAAATGTGTTGCTCTATCAATGCTAGTAATAATGTAGACATTTGCCTTTTTTTTTTACGAAACTACAGAAATATTCAAAAGAAACTATTTTTCCTATGATTCCATGAAGGGTGGTTTCGCTCTATATTTCATCATCGAACATGAGATCAAGTTGATCTTTTCAAATTATCATTATGTTTTATTCGTATGTAAAAATAAATTCATGAAATTCAATACATCAAAAACAAGAATCTTTGTGTTTTTCTCATAAACCAACAAGAGATAAATGACCTAGAGCAATAATGCTCGTCTAAATATACTAGAACATCAACACCATGTGTTTTATCTAAAAAGTTACATCTATTATATACAGATGATGCGGCTATTGATGTACACGCAACACACTATCACTCCATGCCAACGTGAAATATATATCATCGTTATCATCAATATTAACAACATTAATGTCATCATTATGAGTACCTGTAGGTACAAGTCATTTACTAGTTGATCTATCCATACAATAGTTTCAGCATTATCAAATATCTCAAAGCGGTTTAGATAGCTATCATGATTATATATTAACATCAGTACATTGATTTGAGTAGATTATCAATGAATTTTCAGGTACTTACAAGAAGAACAATGACTTTACACTGAGCAATCTACATATACTCGTTAAACTACTTAATTGTAACATTATTCAAAGAAATCATTGAAAAAATATATATACACACAGATCAAACGCCCGAGATCACTCATTGAATAGAGGAGTATGAAACATGAGTTTCTTTAGTCATACAGTTATTTGACTCATCATTGGTACATATTCTTCGTATATTTTCACGAAACTACAGAAGCTGTATTTAGTCGTGAGTCATTACTTCGCTATGGAAGTGAGTAACAAAATAGAACTACTGTGCGTCAATTACGGGTGATTGATACTAGTCAGTCAGTTTGCGGAAAACATTTCTATTGGATGATCATTGACTAATCATATTGGAATCGTTTAATTAATTTTTTTTTTCAGAAAAGAACTTTTACTGGATTGCGTAAGTATTGAGATATAAATATTATTCCATTTCCTTTCGTTTACTCATTTTCATTATATTTATTTTTTGCCCACGGTAGGTTGCTTAGGCACGGGCTGTTATTGAGGTTTGCCAAATAACTCAATCACGAGATATGGAATGTTGAATAGAATAAATTCTTTTTTTCAATAATCCACTCGATTTTTCAGGGCTCATAAAATTTTCATAACCGAACGCTTGATTTCATTTTTTTTTCTACATCATTATAATCATTGATTTTTATTGTCTTTTAGCAGACGTAAAAAATCATTTTAATATCTATCACTTTAATGGATTCAAATGCAATGCTCAATCTCAATCGAATGACATATTTGATGTCAGTTTCAGAAATAACACCACAATTGTTTGTATCAGGTTTATTTCTCAATCAAAAGAAAGCATGTTGTTTTTATTGTGTTTCTTTTCTTAGGTCAAATGGCAGCTACTGTTGAACAAATACAAAAATTAGGAATCACATATATATTGGTAGATATTTATTTTGCTTTAAAAAAATTTTAAATCAAATTTTTACTACGATATTATAGAATGTTGCTGTTGAATCAGCTCCTATTGTTTATCCTAAGCCTATCAAATTGGAAAAATTTGATATTATTGATTTTCCAACAGCTCCTATAAGCAACTTTTTTAATCCATTAACTGATAAAATTCATTCTCATATTAATGTCAGTAAACAAAATAAAGTTCTTGTTCATTGCATGGCTGGTATCAGTCGAAGTAAAATCAACTTATATTCTATTATGGTATTTTTTCTTCTTCTAATAATGCTTTTCGTTTAGGTGTAACAATTCTTTGTGCGTATTTGGTTCGCTATATGAATATGTCTTTGCGCGATGCATATTTATTATGCAAAAGACATCGGCCGATTTGCTTTCCAAATTTAGGTTTTTGGAATCAACTTATTGCATACGAATATCAATTAAGAAAAGAGAATAGTGTTAAAAGTAAGTTAGCGTGCCTTGCCGTTATTTTAATTTATTCAAAAAATGTATACTCATTTTTTTCTTCATGTGTTTATATATGGTTTTTGTGATCATAGAAACCATGTAAGAATATAAAATTGCCCATGATTAGAAACATAATTTTATGAGATGATGCAATTATGTACTAGATAATTAAGTAATCTAGGCCATTAAATTCGAATATTGAATTTTGTCGTCACAAGAAGCATCTATAAGAAACTCTATCTTGTGCTACTTCTGTCGCGTTAGAAAAGTAAGAAATTGTTTAAAACTAGCTTATCACGAGATCTAGCTTGTTCGACTGAATGTGCCTTTGAGAAATGGTGCGTATGTGTGTTACTATTTGTAGATATTGTGTTGTTCTCACAAAATTTAAACAGTTGATTAGGCAAGCGTGGATGACATTTTATTTTTTTGCTGGATTAATTATGCTTGATAAAAATCAATTTTTTATGTTTTTCTTCTGGGCCCGGACTTCTCGTTTGCCTGCCGAAATAAACGCATGAAAGATCGTGAAAAGTTTTCATGATGCATAGCACACATTACATTATTATGCAGATAGACCAAGAATCGAGGCGCTGACAAAAATAATAATAAGAGCATAGTTTTAGAAAAATAAAATAGATTATTGCTAACGTTTTCTTAGTAGAATTTTATGGTCAATAAGAAATATATATTGAACTAAATATACGCCCAATATGCCATGACTAGAATCAGTCTGTCATGATAACCTACACTCGAAAATTCGAAAGATTTCATTTATAACAAGAACGTTAATTTGACCTATAAGACGAAAAACTCGAAAAAGAAAAGGTTAAAATAGATCCGATTAATTTAATAAGCATAGTCGATATTTCAAAATCATCATCAAGTATCTCTAATAGAAAAATTCCTTCAATCAGTTGCCGAGATTACATTATAGAAAGCTACACGAATGACTGAGAGCATGAACAAATCACGTCGAAGTTTTCCCAATAGTGTACACGTACTAAGTTATTATTCTATTTTGTTTTCATGGGTATGATGACGTTGATTTTCTTCGTTTTAGTGATTTCAACGCAATTTGGACATATTCCTGATGTTGCATTTGAAGAAGTCAAACAAATACGTAATCAACAGCAGCAACAACAACAACAAGCACCGCCATCATTACCATTTTTTGCTCCATCATTCGCTTCTACACTTACTAATCCTAGTATAAGTAGTCCGACAACAAATGATACATTATTCTTATCATCGAATCAAACTCGACCAACAGCTCGCGATTTACCTGTAACGAATACAACGAGTACAACACGTTCTCGTTCTTTGATTCCCAATCAAACAAACCGACCGTCTGTTGTTGCCGTTCCAACGAATTCCAGCAACTCAACTTATCAACCGTCAGTATTTTCAGCGAATAAACAAACATTTTCAACACCAACACGATATGGTGTAACACGGTTAAATCAAGCGATAGCAACAACAAATGGTTCTGTTCCACCAGGACCAAGTGCATTACAAAATTCCTATGCTAATGCTCGTAGTGTACAAGCCAATGGACCTTCATCGAATGTGAAACGTACAAATAATGGTCAACAACAAGCACCTCTTAATGCTAGTTATTCGAATCCACCACCACAAGCAAATAATGAACAACGTTCACATTATGAAACAACATATCGAGCTAGTTTTATTAAACCATTAGTTCCATAATATTAACATTCAAGATAAAAAAATATATGTATATATATATATAGATATATATAAATACATGTATTTTTTCATTTTTATTTTCTGATAATGTTTTTAAATGATTTACAAGAAAATAATGGTATGCGCCTATTTCAACATGACATTTATATTTGTAATATTTTTTCTTTCGCTTTTTGCAACAATGTCTTGGGCGTCAGATGGGTATCTTCTTCTGTTTCCTTTTTGAATTGTTAATCTCATTCATGTATCAATCTCGGTGCGTGCATAAGAAGAGGATTAAAAACAAAAAAAGAGAATATTATTAACAATAAAATAATAATGATATGATGTTTTCTTTTCCATTTTAGAACGTGTGCACGTGTACATAAATATATAAATATATATATGTGAACATTTTTCAAATAGAATATGTTGGGTATTACAGAAGTTATCGATAATTTGTACATATCTGGTCTTGAAACTCGTCACGCGATATTAAATAAAGGTATTCGCTGTGTTATTAACATATCATCGGAATGTCCTATGCAAGATCTTGGGCCAACAGTTGAATATGAAAAAATAAGCTTATTGGACTTACCGACAACATCAATCCAACCTTATTTTGATCGGTTAACAACTCGCATACATCAAAATTTACAGCAAGGAAAAAAAACACTTGTGCATTGTTATGTTGGACGATCAAGATCAGCAACGATTATTTTGGGTAAATAAATAAACGTAAATTACAACCATAGAAATCTTTAATCAACATGATGTTTTCTTTGTTTTTGCGATCTTACCGGAGAAATAATTCTGTTGATGAAATATTGATAGGAGCATTGGAAAAACTTATTTTCGAATTTTGACTTGAAATCTCTATCAGTGATTGGCATCTACAGAGTTTCTGTGGATGTATTGTAGGATAGAAATAAAACCATTTTTCAATAGGGGTCATACCAATGTCGAAGTACATTATTTTTGAGTTTTTTCAACATATTAAAAATTCTATTGAAGTTTATATATATAGTCGAAAGTCTCAGACGATGAATTAACCGTTTGAGTTTATAAATTTTAATGAGACAAGCCATTTTAAAAAAGAAATATGAATAATTTTCCTGATCATTCGAAACTATGATATTTTCTTATTTTTAATTTCCCATTTAGCTTATTTAATGAAACATAAACAAATGTCATTACGTGAAGCATTTCATTATTTACGTTCTCGCCGTCATATCGTTGGACCAAACTTTGGTTTTATTAAACAAGTAATTATGAAAGTCTTTGGTCTCAAAATAAATAATTATCAATTGCTTATATTCTTTTAGTTAATCTCCTACGAAAGAACAATATTTGGCTATACAACAGTTTCATTCGTGAACACATCATTTGGTTCCGTGCCTGATATATATTTATCAATGCCAACAGCACGACCTATTCGGCCACCAACAAGAACAGCAACCACCATATCAAATCAAACAGCAAGTAGTACACTAAGTAGAGCTCCATCATCATCCAAATCGGCAATAGGTAATACTGCGCCACTGCGTGCATCATTTACTTATTCACCATCTCCAACATTATCATTGCCAATGCGTCAAAATACACTTTTTACTCGTCCAACAACAAGTGCATTACCTCCACGATCATCAACAACATTATCTAGCTACTCAAATACTTACAATCCTGCTGCGAATAGTAGTCATAATAGACCGGTGAGTTCAACTTCTGTATATCACAGCCAAAGTCACCCAACAGGAACAACGAGCAATTTAATAAATACTACATCATATCGATTACAACAACCTGAACCAATACGCTTAAATTCCACATCAGCAAAACCATTCGAATTGACTCGTGAACTAATCATTCCAGCTAAAACAAATAATTTCCGTACAATCAAATATGTTCCATCATCTTACAATCGTTATCGTCTTCAATAGGCACAAGAAGAAAAATAGCAGCAACACAACAAAAATAATTTTCCGTTTATTTATTTTTTTCGATTTTATTTTCTTATTTTTTTTAATCTGCCAGATAATTCTGCTCGTCTTCATTAATCTTATCCTTCTAAAACAAGACATGCTTAGTCTTTCGTTATTGAGCACATACACACAGTTGATTTTATTTTTTTCGTAGTTGGTGATTTTTTCATTGTGCACGTTTGTTTCTATTCACATCCGGTGTGTGTCTTTGAGTATTCTTTTTTTTTGTCGATTCTACGCTATCACATGATGCTGTTTATATTTGTTATTCTATTGAGAATGCTATCTATTGTGCCAAAATATGATTTATTTTTATTTCTGATATATATCGAATAACTACTTTCATTTTCTTTTCTTTTTGCTCTCAGTAGAAATAAAATCATGAATGATTCAAAGAAAATTTCTATAAATGAACGTCGAGGTCCATATTAATCATCGGCAATATGCACTTATAGAACAGACGTTCTTTTCAATTCTATTATCATTACTGCATATAAATAAACTGTGCTCCAGTCATATTTGACTCACAAATTTATCTTTCGACGATTATTCTTCTCGTTTAATATTTTTTATTTTCTTTTTCGTGTTCTGTAACTTTTTTCTTGTCATGATTTTCATCGTTTTAATTACTATTTCGTCAACGCACAGTTGAATAGATGACGTCCAACATGGGTTGTAGTAGCAGCGCAGTTTAATTTTTATTTCCTAAAGGAAAATTTCAACATACTTAAATATTAGCAAATGAAAGCTGAAGTTTTAAATGAACTTGATAAGATATGGCCGACACTAAATCAAGTACGGTCACAATTACTATCAGGTCCTTTGCGCCGAGTAAGTAAATATTTGATAATATAAAGGTTAATAATTATTTGTTTTTACCTTTTTGGCTTGAGAAGCCATGTGAAAAATGTTGGAGAAAACAAGAAAACAACACTACAAACGAGATAATTTGATATCAGTTTTCTTTTATTTTATTTGTGACTCGTCTTTTTCTACGTTTATCAACGTTATAAAATTCTTGCTAAACAACCGAAAAGCATAGAAAGTATTTTTTGTTTTCGTTTCAAGTTATCAGGATTGAGTCGAAGAGAAAGTCAAAGATCACCATCATCGTCATTATCTTCTTCATTAAAAACTACGAACTCTCCGATGCAACAATGCTGGTCTACGTGTGAACCTGATTCATCTATAGACAAATCAATCTGTCAGCGCACAATCGAACCATGTGAATTTTGTTTTCAGCCATCAAGTTCAGTAATCATGACCGACGCATTTAATGCTAATAGTAAGAGACTGTCCAGTGAACCTCTTTCTGTACTGGATCCATTAACAGAAACATTAGTTCAAAATCAATCGCCATCGCATTCATCTGGTTTCGATAATGCGTTTGGCAACGAATTATCACCAGACAAAACTACCTGGACATTAGGTTAGTCATTTTCTCTTCATTCGTGTCGTTTTTTCAAAATTAATTATCATTTAGGCGTTAATGATTTTTCATCATGCACATCAATAACAAGCGACGATATTTTCAGTGATCAAGATCGATCTGTATTCGATGATCATTCTACACATAACGATACTGATGAACAAGATGTCGATGACGATAGTTTTGAAGTACTCTCATTTGAAGCACCGCCAGAAAGTTCTCTATACATTAGAGGTACGTTTTTTCCTATTTACTTATTTCCATTCGATTAAAAAAAAATGAAAAATGAAATTTTATTATTAGAAAAAAAATTCTTTTCGTTTTCTAGAATTTCCACACACGACAGTTACTGGTCAAAATAATGTTTGTGATTGCTGCAGTGCGCCATTGTCGTTAGTATCAAATGAACCTCAACGACGGTGTCATTACTATGGCAAATTGTATTGTTCACGTTGTCATACTCTGGACTATGCGTATATACCAGCAAAAATAATTCAATCATTTGATATGCGTCTTTATCCTGTATGCCGTCGAGCAAAATCAATACTTCAATCGAATTATTACCAGCCAATATTTGATATTCAAAATGATAATGAAAATTTATACGCAGTCGTACCTCTACTGGCGGAAATAAAAGCAGCTCGAACACAGTTTCAAAATTATCATGCCTATTTATCAACATGTACACGTATTGAACATGAATTAAATGAAAAATTTCTAAAAGAATTCTATGCACGCGATTATCTTTATCAAAGTATTCATTTATATTCTTTAAATGATTTATTATTATTAAAGAAAATTGCCAATATGCTTAAGTCAGCTAGTCGACGAGCTAGACAACATATAGATCAATGTGTCATATGTCGTGCAAAAGGTTTTATTTGTGAAATATGCAAGAAACGAAATGATCTGCTTTATCCATTCTATGATGATAAAACAATTGGCCGATGTAATATTTGTGCAAATACGTATCATAGAAAATGTTGGGATAATATTGATCATGATTGTCCAAAATGTTATCGTTTAATTCAACGAAAACATGAACAAGATATGATATAAATATGTATTTTATTTTGATTACTATTGAATCTCGCTTTCTTCATTTGACTTTTTCATTCTATGACAATACTGAGAAAGGTATCAAACCTAAAGAATTAATCGAATATCTCCTATGTGTTTGAACAAAATTATCACTTTCTTCGAGAATTAGAATAGAAGTTCATCAATTATGTTATTAACATATTTATGCGCCATAGATGCAAAACTGTTAGACTTTGAAAAATGCACATGTCGAAAAAATTTCCTTCAATAATTTATTTTTTTGAACGACTATGGTCCTTCCGGTCAATGCAGGATAGTAGGATTTTGTAGATTTTCAAATCCGAGGAGTTTTTTTTGTCCTATACTTCTTCTATTTTTCGGATTATTTTCAAAAACAAAAAATTTGCCTTTTCTTCATTCGTTGATAAGAATTAAAATTCGATGAATATTTTGATTAACACTTATAAAGTGTATGCATGTTTGCACAGTTCTCTATAAGGAAACTAAATATAGACTTAAAAGTCGTTAGTCACTGACGAGATTTTCTGATAGGGAAGTTTTATGTCAGTTAAAATTAATAGTTTCAACTATTGTCTGCGGAAAAAGAAAAAAATAAACATCATGGAGATATTTTAAATATTCTTTAGTCAATAGATATCTTGATGAACAATTTGTACAAAAAACAATAATTTATATATATTTTTTTTAATTTGTGTGTTTTCAATGCGCTGCGCAACGATGTCGTCTTCTTTTTATTTTCATTGAATCAATCAATAAAATATGAATGACTGCGTCACGAAAATTTTAAATCAACGATATCGATAATATCCAAGTCCATAAAATACATAAGACTTTAACTCTATTATAAGCTATATCCCAGTGAAAAATATTACTAAAAAAGAACGGCAAAGAATGCGTTCCAAAAGAACTGAAGCTCTTTTTTTAAGAAAAGAAAACGTTCCACAACAAATGGAAACCGTTCTCAAATGGAACGAACTAGAACGCATTCTATCATTCTAAGAAAATGTTCTTGGTCGTTTCGAAATGGAATAGTGAAGAACATATTCTGCCACTTGTAGAACGCTTTCTCTTCTTTAAAACGGTTAACCTTTCTGATCACCTGGGTGATCATTAATAGATGAATCTACAATTAGTCAGAAGACTGTTCCTGATGCAACTTGACGAGCTCTGTCGAATGGCGTACTCCAATTCGTTGTAACTGAAACCGTTATTAAAATAATAATTTTTCTAAATCAGACCAAATATCCCTAAAGTAAAATCGAATGAAGATTGCATCATTTTTCACATCAATTTCAACTTGCTTTGCTTCAGACCTTTCATTTTAGAATGAAAATGTGGTTTGCTTCGAAAAGAAAGCATTCATCTCTTCAGAGAATCCATTGTCTTAAAGGCTCGTGAGAGAACGTA